AAAAAAGCACAACCCTCCAGAGTTCATGACCTCAAGGGGAACTTTGTGCCCGAGGCTGTAGCCTGAGAAGCATCTCGAGGCCGGCTGGTGGGGACCCCAAGCAGACGTGTTTTCTGCATCATTTCAAACAAACTTTTTCTGAAGGCAGAATATGCTGCAAAATATGCAAATCTGCTGCAAAATATGAATAATCATGAAACTATTCAGACTTAGGCAGGCTCTCACATGCATTAAAGAGAAGGTTTGAGTCAGCCACTACCCAACAGAACCACTTGCCAGAAACCCAGATGTTCATGTGCTTAATTGTGCTTGGCCGATGGAAGTCAGGCCATGGGCCTAAAAGCAAATTTCTAAAATTGGCCTCAGAGTTCTGTTTCCAGCTCATTAGGTTCTCATGGAGTGTGTGTTTGTGGGAGAATGCCGAGGACACTTAGCAGCAGACAGACGCTTCCTCAGGAAGGCGGGAAGGAGGGAAGCAAGGAAGGCAGAGATCGGCAGCCACGGCACGGGGTGCAGAGATTGGGGGAGGCCCCCTCCCTTGTGTGTCTGAAGGACAGTCAGCCCATGGCGGACATGTGCAGGAGGGACCCCTGACTTCCTGGGGGCAGTGTCCACTGGAATCCCTATACTGGGGACTCAGATGTGTGAAGAGGGCCGTTAGAGGAAAAGGGAAGCCCTGGGCAAGTCAGGGAGGCAAGAGATGACTTAGGGGGCTGGCCCCTCCGAAGCATCCCACCCCTTCAAGGAAATTGACAGAAGTGCTGCTGTCCTTATCCTGGAGGGGCCTGGGGCAATCAGCCCCCTCCTCCTGAGCAGAAGGGGACAGGGTGGCAGCTCCAAGACTTACTCCTTACAGAGTTCAAAGTGGAGCTAGGACCTGGTGTCTGAGCCTGCATCTCAGTGTGGATGCTCAGAGGCCAAGGCCTGGGTGACAGGTCATCCTTGGCCTATGTCCATACTCCTTGGGCTTGGTCAGGCTGTGTGGCCTATCTGGTCACCTCCTGATCTGTGAAATGGGGTGGGTGTGCAGACGGCCTCTCCTTCTCTGGTGGCCTCTGTGAGGAAGATTTGTTCTGTGCACTTGATGCACCTGTCCAAAGCGCTTTCTGAGCAAGTTAGATCTTCATGGCTCCTTCACGTTTGTGCTGTTTGCAGGACAAAGCTGTGGTGCTGGGCCTGATTGACACCATTGACACCATCATGGGCCACATCTCTTTCAACCTGCAGGTCGGCAAGCCCCGGGTCACCATCATGGGCTCTTCCTTCATGGCAGGTAGCTGTCGTCGGTACGGGCAGGGCTGCTGTGCAGGGGGAGGAGGGATGGAAGCATGGGGGATGCCACGGACTGCTGCAGTCCTCACTGTCTCCTAAACTATGTGGCCTTCTGCCAAATCACATTTTGAAGGAAAATGCAAGGTTGGAATCAGGTGATGTGTCCGGTCCTGATGTGCACACAGTACCACACAAGCCACACATTTCATGGTGACTTGGAGCCAAATTTGCATTGTGTGACAATTGTCTGAGTTCAGAACAGGTTGAGAAGTATCCTCTCCATTGAGCAGAGTCAGGTTTCCCAGATCCAGCAGGAAGCTGGCTCGATCTCAATGTGTTTTTCCAGGATGGTTGTCACACATTCCCATACAAGCAGAGCACATGACTTTCCTGTTTTTAAAGTCATTATCTAGGGAGCATTATACTTTAATTTTACTAGACTTTAATATATTCGTACAGTGCTGATACTTTATCACGAGAGCCAAGCCTCGGGAAATAATAGATCCATACCAGTTGGTTTTAGTGGTAGTCTTTTGGCTGCGACATCTGCCTCCATGCCAAGATGCACTTGCCTGCCATCTTCAAGGATGGTTTCATTTTTCTGTGTCTTATTGGGTCCCCCAGCCACCCTCAGCATGTGGGGTCTCATTGCCTAATTGAACACAGTCCATCGGCTGAGGACCTGAGGTCTGATGGGCTGCTGTTGGGGACAGAGGGGTCACCTCAGGGATGAGTCCCCATCAGTGTGGGGGCTGTAATGCTCAGCCTCCTGGGGAGAGTTACTTCCCTGGACTCTTTCTCTCTTTTGATGCTGTTGCTTTCTAAAGGTGATTACACCCTCCAGGGGAACTTCTGTTAAAAATAGGAAAAACAGATGGGGTTTTACAGCCCCAATTTCCTACAGCCTGTGGGTTTATCGACTGTGCTCTTCTGCTTTTTGGTTCATTCTTCCCTGCAGAGTTTTCAGTGATCAAAGTCATTCCCAGGGTGATGAATGCCTCCCACTACCGCTTCCCGGCCCGAGGGCAGAGCTACATCGAGATTCCCCATGAGGCCTTCCACAGCCCAGGTGAGTCCTCCAGCCCCCTGACCCATCTGCAGCACCTGAGATGTCCTCAGTGCTAATTCCTGCTCAAGCCGAGCCTGCTGAGCCAGAATGTGGGGCGGGGTGTGGGGACCTGCATTCAAAGCATGCCCACCATGATGAAATGAAGGACGTCTTGTGTCCTCCCCATTCTGCGCAGCTCCTGGTTCCTGAATATAAATAGCCGGGGCCTCTCCCCTCCCCGCTCAAAGTGGTGGCTGGCACAAGGGTTGTCTGCTCAGGGACCCCAGGTTCTACTCCTCTGCAGGCCAAGTCAAGTCTCGTCTGTTTTTGCTGCAATGACCTTTGTCCTCTCTGGTCCCTGGAAAAGTGAACATGCCCTTTCAGGCATCTCCCTCTCTCCTGGGGGGCCACAAGCCATCAGGGTAGAGCTGTGGATCCTTACCCTTGATACCTGGCTCTACCCTAGAGAAGGGGACCAGGCCAGCCTGGGTCAAAAATCTCCCTTCCTCCAGCCAGGAGCCCACCTCTGCTCCCTCTGCTGTCGTGTCAGGGTCCCCAATTGGCCTCCTGCCCTCATCTGTCCGTGACTTTAGGGGTGCCCTGCTGGCCTGGCACATGACCTTTCTCTTCCCACTTCACCTGGCTGCATGGTTCATTAGAAGAGCTCAGAGCCCGAGACCCATATTCTCTACACATGGAAACTTCTCACACTTAGCAGCAAAACTTATCGGTCACAAGCACCGACTCTGAGGCTGGGATTTCTAGGCTGGAATCCTGGTTCTGCAGCTTACTGGCTGCATGGCCTTGGGCAAGTTACCGAAACTGCTTGTGCCTTAGTTTCCTCATCTGAAAAATGAGTACAATATTAGTACCTGCCTCATAATATTGTCATGAGAATCGAATGAGCAAGGCACACCTGGCATGTAGAACATGCAACATAAACTGTTAAACACATTCCTGAAATTCTAACATACTTCACAAATATGCCCTAAGAACTCAGAGTCAGCTGAAGTCTTGCTCCTGCAAGTGTCCTCTGTGAAGCCAATGGAGTGAAATGATAATAGAATATGTGTCTCCTGTTTCAAAGTTGTGACATAAGAGACAGGTGGGACCCAGCACGGGCATAAGGATGTCTGGCCGGCCGTTGCCCTGCTCAGGTGGAATGTGCAGTAAATACCCTGTCTGCAGACAGCAGACAGGGCATGCTTGTGGCTGCAAGGCTGTGGACTGGCACTGCCCACAGAGGCTCCATCACTTCCCTGGCAAGTCTGGCTCTCGGGAGCTGCAACACATGAGTGTCTGGAGCTGGCACATGGAACGGAGCAGGGAGTCCTTGTCACAGTTGAGTGCACAGCTAGGTAGACACAGAATCTGTGTCCTTGCTGACTCTGCCCAGGTGTCCTTCATTTCCTTCTCCTGGGAGGAGCTGCCCAGGCTCTTGGGGTGAGGGACTGCGCTGTGCACGGCTGGGCAAGGAGTTCTGCATCTTCCTTCTTTGTCACTGAGAGTGCTGATGAGTATCTGTGCCTCTGCTTTCTCCCCAGGCTGGACCACCATTGTGGGCCTGTTCTACCACTCCGTGCACTATTACTTGAACAACATTCAACCCGCCAAGACCAAGTGAGTGTCTCGGGCAGCACTGCACAAGGGGCGTGGGCATGTGTGCACGTGTGTGCTGGGCGGCTGATCATGGCAACACCCCCCACGAGCCGTCATGCTACATGCAACATCGTGTCACAGAACTCTTGATGCCAGCGCCTGCAGCTTCACTATCAGGGAGAGTGCCCAGCCCTCTGAGGAGACTTGGGCACTGCTGTATGGGGGTTGCCTAGGCCTGGGTTTGGCCGACAGTGAGTGGGCAGGAACACAGGCTAGGAGGTCCCATCTGCCCCTGGGGCCTAACCGTGTGACCTTGTGCTATGAGTGGAACTCTGCGAGCTCTTCTGTCAGCTTAGCTGGTAACTAAGACCCCAGAGGCCACTGAGGCCCAGGCAAAAGAACATCGTGGGAGTCCATATGCACAGGTCCCTTCGGGGCCTCGCTGTCGGGGGTGGGTTGCAGGCAAGGCTTTGATGACACAGCCACAGTGTGAAAGTTTAAGAGTGTTTAATACTTACAGACCCTGGAGGCCACACACATGGAGGTCAAGAGTGCAGGAAGGGGAGAGGAACCCATGGGCCAGTGCCTTTACTGGGCCCAGGACATCATCCACACAAGTTTCCCGTGGGAAGTTTAATTGGTGGGCTTAGAGCAAGCAGGCATGTGTTCCAGGGGGTCACACTGTGCCTGGGATGTGGTCACTGTGGCATATCTGCATACTCCAGACAGTTGTGGGGGTCAGCAGGGCAAGTCAGGCAGCCTGCATCCAGCCATCCCATAGGGAGGTTGTCAGCAGGAGGCGCTGTGTAAGGCAGGTGTCTGGATCAGCCACATTGAAGAACTGGGAGGCGGTGGAGAGCCAGAAACCATGTCACGGGTGACCAAGCCCTGCTACTGACATGAGAAAGTCCATCTTGTATTGAAAATGATGCTGAGGCAACATAAATTACAAGCATTCACTACACCTTGAACAAGTACCTTAACCTCCCTGAGCTTCAGTTTCCACTTCTGTAGAATGGGAAGACAACAGACCTGCCTACATCAGTCGGGAATGTGGTGGACACATGTGGGTAAAGCCAGCTCACATCAGCTTAACAGAAGTCCAGGGAAACTGGGAGCTCACGGGACTGGAAGGGCAGGAGCAGGTGGGCTTCAGGCACGGCTAGACCCGGGGACCTAGAAGATGCCATCTAGACCTGGTCTCATTGTCTCCTGCCTCTGCCGTCCTTGGTGTTGGCTCATGTCCAGGAAGGCCCCTTTGTGGAGGCAGAGCTGGCTGCTGCAGCTTCAGGCTCACATGGGTTTGGGTCCTGAGATCCCAGAAGGAGAGCAAGCCTCCTTCCCAAAAGCTCCTGCAGAAACCCAGGGAGGGCTGTGATTGGCCTGCCTGGGTCATGTGCCCATCCTGAGCCCCCCTCAATTGTGGTGGCCAGGGATCCTGTTCTCTCATTGGCCAGATCTGCTCACATGACCCCCAGGTGTTGGGGTGGCTCAGCCCTACGTTGACCACAGGGAGGGGCAGGTTCTCACAAAGAGAGCAGGGCAAGTAGACACACCACCAGCCTCCCTGGGCAGGGGCAGGGGAAGGGCCAGAGCCCAGGCTGGGGCCAGAAGAGGGCCTGGGAAGGAAACGCAGCTCAGAGTGAGCTGCACAACCCCTTTACCCCTTCCAACCCCAATGGGGCTTCATTTCCTTCCCTGTTGGGCCCGAGCCTGGGAGAACTGAAGGCTGGGGAAGGGCAACTGCGTGTTTGGGGTCTCTGCTGATGGGCAGGCACTGTGGGGTGAGTCATGGGCACTGGCTGTGGGACCGACGCTGAGACTCATTTGTGATGGAAAGTGGGCAGCAGTCATAACCCTAACAGAAAATGATAAATGAGAAGTAACTTCAGCGGCGCAAATGCCTGAGCTTGTATCATGTGTTCTCAGGTGACGCTCCTCCCCAAATTGCCCCTCCTCCCCAAATTGCCCCGTGTGAGGGAGCTCCTGGAACATAGCCCGTGGGGTGAGGGTGGGCAGGGGAGAATACAGTCAGTTTTGCTTCGACCTGGAAGAAGGGCCGTCTTCTGGGTCTGATTTCCCCAGGAAAGCCTGCACCCTTGCAAGTTTCCTTATAACCAAAGAAGGGAGTGGGGGGAGAACCATCACTCTTTGTGCATGATTCCAAAGTTCTTCAGAAAAACTGGCCAAAGGAAAACACAATCTGTTTTCCTCAAAAAGATGCCCTCTTCACTCTTTGGGGAAATTTTTCCAGATCCCAAATCACAAATGAAAAAAAATTGACCCATCCTCAGCCCCTCTCTGGCAGTTCAGACGTGAAACGTGCTCACGTGGACCAGGGTGAGAAGGAGCAGGGGACATGCTATCTGTACCACCACCTACAGCTCTCCCCCACCCACACCCCAAAGAAAAGGCAGAGAATCACCTACAGATATCAGTACACACACATGTGAGGGGGAGATTCACCGTGGCCAAGTGGAATCAGGACCCCAGCCAGGTGCTGGCAGTTCTTTCATAAAGGGCCAGATTGCAAATATGTCTGGCTTTACAAAACTCTGTTCTTCCACATGAAGGCAGCCACAGACAATATGTAAAGTTCTGGGAGCGGTGAGCTCCAGTACAGCTTTACTTATAAAACCAGGCAGCTGGCCCTAGGGCCATCGTTTGCAGACCTTTCTAGACACTGCCCTATATCAGTGCTAGCAATGGTGGGGTGGAGATGGGGGGCTGAGCGTGGCTGGCTTTGGGGCGTCCCAGGCCCTACTCGAAGCTCTGCAGATGGTGCTGTTTGGTCTGTCCCAAGGGCTTCACTCTCGCCCTCCCTCTGCTGTCTTCACTACCCAGGCCTGCAGAACCCCATGACTCAGGCCACCGCAGTCAACTCCCACCTCTCCCTGTGAATTGAGACCCCGGAGACCCCTCCCCTCCTGACTATGTTCATTCACGTGAACACCCATCTGCCGTATGAGTTCTACCAGCAGCATATTTAAGTGCTGAAGCCCAAACAGAATTGTTTTGCAGTGAAGAGAACATATTTTTCATTTGTGCAGTGAAGTTGTATCTTCAGCTCCAGGGAAGCTCTCAAGTCAGCACTTAACGCAAAGACATCTGATTGTCAAAGTTGACCTTGAAAAAAAATCATCCAAATAGCACATCAAGTGTAGTCCCTGTACTTTTAAAATTCTATCCTATAGCAAAAGAGTTAGGCAAAAGCAGGAACAAAAGAGACACGGACAAAACCACAATGTTGCGGTTAACAACACAGATGTGGGTGCCAGACTCCTGGCTTCCCAGTGGGAGCCTGTGTTAACCGT